AATTTGGATGCATGACGGCTGAATAAACCCGATTACCGCTTGGTCTGGCAAGTGTCAAGTTAAACACACCAGCTCATCGAGGGTTTCAACACCAGCTGTTGTGGTGCTAGTACATGGCATCAAGTATCGTAATCGAAATGCTCTTAAAGTGGTGCTCATATCAACCCCTCATACGTGCGTCAATAGGACCTCTGTGGAAGCTTCATTCAGCTATTTTTCCTTTTTGAGAATTACGCAAAAAATGCTGATCACACACGTTTATTTGCATGCCACGAAACCCTCCCAGCAGCATTCTAACAGCACGTTGCTAACGGTCTAGATGCCCCGAACATCTGCCGTAGGTCATAACCATATACTGGCTGCCGTAGCACGCCATTGTTCCACATGACCACTTTCATTTGATGTCGCTCTGAAACCCAGTATACGAAGTCCCTGGCAGCCCCTACTTCTTTCCGCTGATTTTCCGAATGTGGGAATCAAACTTTTCCAGTTCCTCCATTCTCATCAGCGCCTGAAGACAACCCTTGAAGTATTCGGATGTGAAGCATTCGGAGCTGAAACAAGTGTCACAAGTGAATGGTTATAATGTAATGCTGGTGACGACAGGTACAAAAGTTATCAAAGGAACTACACGATTTCAAGGCCTCGACATTAAACTGTTGACCGGTCAATACAATCTGTTCGGTGGTCAAGAAGCACATGACAGACACTGCAGCTACTATAATACGTGTGATGTTACTCCCGTTGCCTGGCACCGCGTGTATATACATATATATATATATATATATACATATATATATGTATATATATATATATATATATATATATATATATGTGTGTGTGTGTGTGTGAATATACACTGATCAGTTAATGCATTTTTAATAAGTTGCGTTCCGTTTCACAAAACAGCGGATGCATCATCAGGTAAAAGAACACGCACTTCCATTGTAAACCGAAATGGTATAAAACAGGCACATAGGTAGATCCAGTAACCGTGGCACATGGCACAGACAAATTGAAAACACAAGACAAGTAACATGCCATGACACACGACCCATCCCCAAGTTTACAGCCACATTCCTTATCATCACAATTTCTGATGGGTGTGATGCAGTTATGTTATTAAGCGCGGGACGTCTAAAAAAAAACCGTATGAAGACTAAGATTCTGAAATCAAGCAAGGACTATGTTCCGCCGAAAACACTAAAATTGAAGCCAATACTGAGGTGTTACATGTAAACGGATGTTCATGATGGAGAGATGTCAGGTTCCTGTCCAGATAGAGATATCCAAATGCTGCTGAATGCGACTGCGCAAGTCCCGAAGGTTGGAACCTTTGTAGGATGGCCAACACGAGGTACAACGAAACTCACCTACAGCAGTAGATTGGCAGGATTTAGGTTTTCACCAAAATAACCCTAGGATCTAATCAAGAGATTCTCGTCATGATCTCAACATTCTTAATGAAGACTTGATCACATCCATTTCAGATTGTGGCAACATGAAATATACCCGTAGAATGTGGGGGGGGGGGGGGGGGCGTTGATGGGTTCTGTGAAATTGTACGTGCCTGTGTGTTTTTTTCAATTTGTCTGTGTCATGTGCGCGTTTTGAATCATTGTGGTTTACGCTAAACGAGGGTCTTTTTTACCTGGTGATGCAACCGTTGCTCTGGGAAACGTGTCTCGTGCTGATATAAGATGCGTAAGATGATCGCGATATGTTGATACGAGTCACTTCTTAGTGAGTAAGCTGTACACACACCCACACACCCACACGCCCACACATACACACACAGATATATATATATATATATATATATATATATATATATATATATATATATATATATATATATATATATATATATATATATTGTTGTACAATACAGTCCATGAGCAGAAAACGTCATCGATATGAAGGCAGAGTTTGAGACATACCGGCACAGGCCGTGCAGCTCTGGCTCTTTGTAGATCGTGTAGCACTCTTGGCACACCTCGTCCAACTCATGAAATATCACCTTGTTGAACACGCCACGGCATTTAAGTTCAGCGAAAGAGCGCTTGATATATGGCCTAGGCAGCACCGATTCGCCAGGCATGATCTGCGACTGGCACTTCGGAAGCGTGAGAGCGGCGACCATTGCGACCAGAAGAGCAGTCAAAAATTCTGACAGCTGCATCCTGCAACATACCGGGCACGACATTCAGTACCATGATGCTTGCTTTTTGCTCCTTAGGCTGATAGCTCTCACGTAACATCATGGAGTGTGAAACTGAACAGATACTTATATATATATATATATATATATATGTATATATATACCGAAGAACAATATATATATATATATATGTATATATATACCGAAGAACAATTCATAGATATTTAGACATTACGAACATTATTTACACAGCTGCCTATATGCGGTATAACGCTTGCGGTCAGCCGACGTTCATGCCGTAACATCCATTAACAATGTATGATTAGTTTGGTTTGTTCCCCTTTAGGTGGGTTAATCAACTGACATCTCATTAACATAAGATGCATTTCGTGCATACCAGGAACCTTTAAGAAACCGTTGCATTGCATTGAATGCCGCCTATGGGGCGATGTTCCTAACCACAGTGATACATCTGGAACTAGAAACAAACTGCATGGGAATAAGATGGCTTGGAATACAATAGCAGGATTAATCAAGCAAGTACCAAGTTAAGCCTCAAGTGCCAAAGGAAATTAAAACCTTGTCGAACAGCAGTCGCTGCTCGCTGCACCGCCGTTGTTTTGCACTAGTCTGGATATGGGAACCGCTTCTGGAACTGCATTTTTCGAACTCTAGAGCAATCACACGCGGACATGCCAAAAACCCATTTGGGTACTTTTGGTCGACATAAGTCGGGTGTGGTCGTACGTGCGCATGCCCTTTGTATTTGAACATCACAAATGGGATCATATTTCCTTTTCTCTACGATAACGGATTCCTTTAATCTCTCGTGTGCAACTAAATCACTGGACGAGAATGCGTAGTTATTTATGTCCATTATATAGGCAGCCATGGCATGACTTATTGATTGCACTTACCTTGTAATCGACTGGAAAGGAAGTGGCAGGTGGCGTGTTTTCACGTGAAGGGTACAGAGAAGTCGGAGGCACGTGAGAGACGACTGTGAAGTGGTCGGCTAGCATCGCTGTATTTATACGCCGGACTGAATCAATCTGAATCCGAGATGAATGCGTGGGTAAAGCAATTCAGCCCGCATATGTTGGTATGTATTTGAATCAGCAATGAAGAATTCCAGATTATAAGAGCAACTCAAATAGTGCCAGAGAGGAGCTCTTCACATGGCCCCGATATCGATAGCTGGTTGCCATACAGCAACGAGTAAAAACACCTGTGTATGCAACCATGTAACATGTATATATTTATACCCATACTGTTATACGTTGGTAAGATATCTTTACTTAGGCATAGACCATGCATGACATTCTTTGATTGCATGGTATTTTCACTTTCAGTTTCCAATTAAGTTATTCAGTCTTCCGTGTGTGACGTTTACTGCTGAGATTCACGAACACTACATAAATTTAAACCAATCACGGTGTCCCCATAACTGGCCCTAAATCGAACTCAGAAAAAACTTTCTCTGCTCCTATTCTTTCGATTCTGCACTCCTCTCTTCTCTGCATTCTCCTCTTTATCAGAAAACCCTTCTCTGGTCCATTTTCTGAATCATGAGACCACCTTTGCGAATGAGATAGACTAAGTCCTGGACCAGGAGGCCCAATTTTGTGCTAAGAAGGTCTTTCTGCTAAATCGGGAGGCCCGTTATGTACTAAGGGGCTCCTGTTTTGAATTAGATAGCTCACTCCATATGCCAGGAGGTCCCTTTCGCTTTCTGGAACAGGACACCACTTCCATGTCTCAGATGGACGAAGGTCTGGATCAGGACACGCTGTTCTGGGATAACAAAACCCATTGCTGGGTTTGGAAGGCCGTTTGTGAATCAAAAGGATCCTGTTCTGGATTAGGAGACGGCTGCTCTATCGACCAGGAGACTTCTCTTTGGATCCGAAGGATTTTTCTGGGACAGGACGACATGCTTTGGGATATGGAGGCCATCTGCTAGATCGAGAAGACCCCGTGTTAATCAGAAGGCCACTATTCCGTATAACTGTATTATTTGACAACATTTACTTACATGAATAATTATGATTTTGCAAGCTGATGAGGGGCACATACCCCGGTGTCCCCTGCTCGACGCAACAATGCCCAGGAGGCCCCCTGCGATGAGGCCGAGCAGGCAGTGACCAGTCCCGTCACCTGACCCTGACCCGTTATCGGGTGTGTGTGTCGGCCCGCCTGGAGCCGGCCGCCGGTCGATAGGTGACGTGCGACCGACGGGCCGCCGTTGTGGCCACCGCCGCCGTCCAAGCAAGCGGCATCGATTGGTGCACCAAGTGCGCGACAGTTGCCACTGCGGTGGAGCGCCAGCACCTGGACGGTCGGCCCGGTCCGAGCCGGCCTGGTGTGTGCTGAACTGAGCTCGGCGGGCGCCAGGGACTGCTGAGCGGGCGCGTCTACAGTCTCAGGCGCACCGCGTGCGGTAGCCGTCTGGGGCGCGGCGCGCTCTCGTCCCGCTGCGACGGTCCGGCTCGCTCTCGACGCGCGGGCCGTGACACCCCGTCCCCGCCGCTCCCCGCCGCCGCCATGGTGTTGACCAGCGCCGCGCCGCGCCGGCTGCTGCTCGTCTCTAGCCGGTACCGACACGCGCAGCAGATCAGCGGCTGCGCGGCGCCCGGCGTGCTCGTGGTGCGCTACAGCTTTGAGCTGAGCTCGCCGGCGGACGTGCTCAGCCTGGCGGAGGGCGCGCTGGGCGGAGGCCGCGCCGCCTCGCTCGCCTGCGTCATGCACGGCTCCGACAGCGAGATCTTCGTGTGCGAGCCGGGCGAGCTGACGCTGACGGCCGAGTCGTGCACGGACGATCAGGACCGTGCGCGAGCTGATGACCGGCCTCGGTCGCCTGCTCGAGCCGGGCCCGACCGCGCGCCTCGACTTCCTGGACGCGCGCGTCTCGCCGCTCTACGACGGTGGCTTCATCGCCCGCCAGCTCGAGTCGCTGCTGCAGGTGAGTGCCGCTCGTGCGCATATGAGGTCCCCATATGTTTCATGGGGTAGGGTAGGACAGCTCGAACCCTCCACCTCAGTTGACTCCGGACTTTAAGGCAGGCCCTGAGTGTATTATGTGAGATGCATTGATCCAGAATGCAGGTGATGGTCGTAGCGCCTGGGGTCATCATACGAAGGAGGCGGATGGTGATTTCCAAGACACTTTAACAGGCGGTACGTAAGTGTCCTTATCCGGGCATCAGATGTCATAGGCCATCGCACACTCGCACTGCACTGCCACATTCCGCCAACTGATTGGAGGCGGCTTATATGCAGAGGTTCTTCCCCGAACACTAGTTTGCATACAGAGGTGCCTCCCCGAAGACCGATGCATCGGGATAGCTCAGACCGACCCCTAATCAAAACACCCACGCATGGGCCTGATAGAATGCTCTCGCTGATGGCAGATTCCCGTGGCCACATGGAACAGTCTGTACGGCAGTGAGGTGGCCGTCCGCTCGGACCGACCCGACATGGAGCAGGTGGGCGAGCTCTACTTCAACACGGCCAAGCTGCGCACCGCGCTCAAGACGGCCGCCAACGTGAAGAAGTTCGCCGCCAAGGACCTCTCCAACTACGAGCGAATCCGCTCGGTGGGCAAGGGTGCCTTCGGCCAGGCGATCCTCTACCAGAAGAAGGATGACTCCACCCTGGTGGTCATCAAGGAGATCAACATGCATGACCTCTCGGCAGATGAACGCAAGCTCGCGATCAACGAGATCGAGGTAAAGCAGCAAACCAGCATGTAAAGACCGCATCAGAAGCCAGACACGGTCGCATGCTTACTGTCAGCTGGTGCGTCGAATACTTCCCTCCGCAGTAAGCCGCCTGATCGATCATCGAGCGTCATTGCCTGGGACGCCGCTGACCGAAACTGAGGGGACACTGCCATCGGGTCGGTCAGGCTTAACCCTCACTCAGTGCGGCCTTACGATAACCGGGTCTGGTGAAAATTCGCCAAGGAATCTGCGGTGCCTTTTCGTTCAAACACTTGTATGCAGACAGCAAATAATTACAACGCTCCGTTTAAAACCCATCGTTGTGTTGCTTTTGTACGTGGGAATACAATGCTTGCGCGCTTCTCCGCAACGCCGGTGGTTATTTTAGAGCATAGGCGTAGATTGCCACCGAAAATCATTCCCGGACATGATTTGATGCGGTACGCTTCTGCAGCGTCCACCACACGCCGTGCTTTTCCGCAGGTGCTGGCCATGATGGACCATCCGAACATCGTTGCCTACCACGACAACTTTGAGCGGGACGGTCTGCTCTTTATCGAGATGGAGTACGTGGACGGCGGCACCCTGGCCCAGTATCTGGCCAGCCAGGCCAAACGCATCGACGAGCGCACCATTCTGGTCATCTTCCACCAGATCGTGTCGGCCGTGCGCCACATGCACGAGCACAACGTGCTGCACCGCGACCTCAAGACGGCCAACATCTTCCTCACTAAGCAGGGCGTCGTCAAGGTATGCGCTCCCATCGACCGCCATGAGGCCGTCTGTACCCTGATGTCTAGACATTTAACTTTGTTTAATTTGATCCGAACCCTTTAAATGGGTGGATTTCTGGGATCAGCGCTCACGCTAAGCAGTGCTTGTTGTATGGGCCCTGACCCCCACCATCCGATTGTGCAATTCCAGGCAACGGCATAATTTAGTGTCGAAAACTTAACATACCGCAATGCTCGGCACGGTCCGTCCTGCCCTCTGGCGTCAACTGACCTTTACCGCGACCGCTGCCACCGGCCGCAGGCCATGCCTGTCAGGGACAAATAGCGAGCGCCCTAAAGCGACCCGAACCCACCCCGCCACGGGTGGGTGGATCGGAAGGCAGACGCTCTAACCAACTGGTCTGTCGGGACGAACTCAGTTTTTTCTGGACTAATTTGTGGACTCGGACTAATTTTTTGTCGCGCCTTGCGTGACACCGATTTCACATGAAGTTTTCAACCTTTACGTGAGATTTTGAGCTGAGGTGGCCAAGTTGTATGGGTAAGCGAGATCTACACCGATCTGTATATGATGTCCCAAAACGCCTTAGTTAACGAGCTTGAACGACGCAATACTCTGCGGGCATATTTCCAAGTTGGATATATTTTAGCAAACGGGGATGGGATTAGCGACAACCCACACGGAGGGAAGGTTGGAAGTGCACAACCTCGTTAAGGAACGCCATCACTATTGAATCTGTCGTTTCCGACGGACCGTCGTGATGGAGAAGACCCTTGCCGCACCTGTCCTACAGCGTCGCGGTCCCGCTGGGCGACTCTCCGCACCCACTGAGCGGGCGCCAGACCCTGCGCCCGCCAGTCACTGCGCCCGTCAGACCCTGCGCCCGCCAATGCCCTGCGCACGCCACACATTACAGTCCGCGTCGCTGGCAGGTGGGCGACTTCGGCATCTCGAAGAAGATGGCGACGCACCAGGGGGCGGCGCACACGGTGCTCGGCACGCCCTACTACATCAGCCCGGAGATGTGCGAGGGCCAGCGGTACGACGCCAAGTCGGACGTCTGGGCGCTCGGCTGCATCCTGTACGAGATGGCCTGCTTGCAAAAGACGTTCGAGGGCTCCAACCTGCCGGCGCTGGTCAACAAGATCATGAAGGGCCAGTTCGCGCCGATCCGCGGCAACTACTCGCCGGGCTTCCGGCAGCTGGTGCGCGACCTGCTGCAGCGCGACCCGGACTTCCGGCCGAGCGCGGCGGAGGCGCTCTACGACCGGCTGCCGGTGCTGCTCAACCAGTTCCGCTATCAGCGCCTGGAGGAAGGGGAGGAGGACGAGGTCACTGAGGTAGGTCACAGGGTGACAGAGGTGGGTCGCAGGGTGCAACAGAGGTGGGTCGCAGGGTGACAAAGGTGGGTCACATGAGTGACAGAGGTGGGTCGCAGGGTGCAGAGGTGGGTCGCAGGGTGACAGAGGTGGGTCGGCAGGGGTCGCAGAGTGACAGAGGTGGATCGCAGGGTGACAGAGGTGGGTCGCAGGGTGGTACAGGGTGGGTCGCAGGTTGATAACGGTGGGTCGCAGGATGGCAACGGTGGGTCGCAGGGTGGCAACGGTGGGTCGCAGGGTGACAAAGGTGGGTCGCAGGGTGACAGAGACGGGTCGCCGGCCAACTCTGGTGGTCAGTTCAGGCCGTGATGATGCGTCTTCAGTTACACCTCGGTCATCGCAACACGCCATACGGTTGTGGAGGTACGTGAGATGAGGGTCAACGAGGTACGACCTGGGCCGCCCGACGGTGAAGAGGTCAGGTCATAGAGCAGGGTCACGGGCCGTTTGCGACCGGCAGCCAGGTCACAGGAGTGCGACACCGGCCAGATTTACGACGGGCAAAGCGACTGAGACACGCCACCACGAATGAAGTAACGAATAAATCAAGTTGCCAGTTATCAGACTGCCCAGGAGGCTGGACTGTACTGGACTTCAGGTGACGTGTGGGCTATCAAAACTGTCACCAAACCAAAACTGTCATAAATCCAGCTTGTGAGCCAGTCAGTGACTTTGTCGGACGGATCGGTGCATCCTAATTGCGTCGCACATGATCGTTTAAAACATTTCAAGGAAGGCTCGTCAGCCATAATTTTATTTACTGCCACGCACTTCGATTGCCTCGCCAGCCCGCTGGTCCAGTCACGCGGATGCATCCCACCGTTACTTAACAGGTAGAGCTGGCAGCTCATTACAGCACGCACCGGAAGCCCCCCTCCCGACCCGCCAGCCACTGGTAAAAGCATCAGTGTATCACGTGACGTTTAGAGCTGGGTGGTAGCCGTGATCTGCACTTCTGACCTCGTCGCCGGCAGGTGCGCCTCAACATCGAGCATCCGTCCAAGACCAGGTCGCCCAAGCCGCCGCGCTCCGTGCTGTACTACATGAAGGCGAGCGAGTCGTCCATCGGGCTGCTGCCTATCCCGCTGCCGCCGCGCGCGCGCATCAAGGAAGTGTCCATCAGCAGCACGCACATGATCGCGCTGACCACCGAGCACCTGGTGTTCACCTGGGGCGAGGGCAAGAAGGGCCAGCTGGGGCACGGCATGACCGAGGCGTGGCGCGCCAAGCCAGAGCTGGTGATGGCGCTCAAGACCAAGTCCATCACGCGCGTCTGTGCCGGCGACGGTCAGTACAGCTCGGCGCAGTTCTCGGGGGTTGTCGGTGTGGTGCATTTGGACCGTGTAGGGATGGAAGACCTGTTGCTGTTGTGTTACTGCGGTTCCTCGGTTCGTCGCGCGCAGCTGTCGCTGCTGACAAACTATCAGACGTGACTATAGTTGAACAGCTTCCTCCCCGACCACTTTGAATTGACCTGCATTTTATTATCATGTCTTCAGGCATACCACAGTGTAAGACTACTGTCTCACAAAACTACACAGCACGAGCTGTGAAATCTGTGCGTGCACTCCAGTCCGCCCGGCGTTCGGTCGGCGCACATCACTCCCGCGGCCGCCGCGTGCGCTCCAGTCCGCCCGACGTTCGGTCGGCGCACATCACTCCCGCGGCCGCCACGTGCACTGCAGTCCGCCCGGCGTTCGGTCGGCGCACATCACTCCCGCGGCCGCCACGTGCACTGCAGTCCGCCCGGCGTTCGGTCGGCGCACATCGCTCCCGCGGCCCCCGCTCCCCGGCTAGCTGTCTGACGCACCGCACTCTCCGCAGGCTTCAGCGTGTTCGCCAGCGACAACGGCATCGTCATGACGTGCGGCGACGGCACGTACGGTTGCCTGGGCCACGGCAACTGGAACAACACGTCCACACCCAAGCTGGTCGAGTCGCTCCTGACAGTGGACGTATCGGCGATCGCGTGCGGCCGGCGCCACGTGGTGGTGGTGGGCGGCAGCGGCGAGGTATACAGCTGGGGCCAGGGCCAGGGCGGCCAGCTGGGGCTCGGCCACGAGGAGGATTGCAGCCTGCCACAGGAGGTCACCATCCCCGAAGAGCACGTGGTGGAGAACGTGCGCTGCGGCGGCGACGGCACGATCTTCATCACGCAGCAGGGCTCGCTGCTCGCCTGCGGGAACAACGAGCGCAACAAGCTCGGCCTCAACCCGCGTCGCGGCCTCATCTCGTCCATCGCCGAGGTCGGCAAGGTGCTCGTGCCGACGCCCGTTAAGTCGGTCACGTCGCGCATCATCGACGTCAGCATGGGGCCACACCATACCATTGCGCTCACTGAGAATGGCCACCTGGTGTCGTTCGGCCGCAACTCGGAGGGTCAGCTGGGCCGCGGTCCGGGCGCGCGCCGCCGGCCAAGCCCGGTCTCGTGCGCAGCATGATGGACAAGACGGTGACGATGGTGCAGTGTGGCAGCACCTTCACCGTGGTGGGCACTATTGACAATGTGCTCTACCTGTGGGGCACGCGGCGCGTCAGCCCGCCGCCGACGGCCAGCCGGCCGAGCAGCGAGCAGCCGGCGGCGAACGCGCTGAGCGCGGCCGGCCGCGCCGCCGTTGAGTCTGAGCCCGAGGCGACCGACGGTGCGCACCGCGAGGTACAGTACCAGCCGCGCGAGGTGCTCGCCCTGTACGCCTCGCAGGCGCAGATCAGCAAGGGGGAGACGCTCAGCCTGGGCAGCCTGCACGCGCAGAGTCAGAACGTGTTCCTGGTCGTGGACACGACGTGCCCGCTGCCGCGCGTCAACATGCCGCCAAGCCAGGGCTCGGCCGAGTCGAGCCCACAGCGTGCCTCGCCGCCGGGACCGGCTCCGCCCGCGCCAGCGCCGGCGTCGGCCCCGCCCGCGCCGCCTTCGCCCGCGCCGGCCGCCGCTGCCGCGCGGCCGCCGGACCTGGACGTCACGGCGGCGCCCGTGCCCGACTGGCTGCGGGACGAACTGGCCGCCACCGAGGTGCCGTGGCCGGGCGGCGGCGGCTCGCCGGCACGGGGACACCCCGGCCGGCCCGATCCGCCGGCCGAGCTGCGCGCGCCCGTCACCTCACCGTTCGCTGTGACCACGTCGCCGCAGCTCGGCCGACCGCCGCCGGCGCCGGGACAGCCGCGCTCCGGCCCGTCGTCGCAGACGGCGCAGGGGGCAGCGGCCGGCGCCGGCTACCGGCGGCCGAGCAAGGAGCGCCAGCAGCGCGAGCGCGAGGAGATGCTGAACCAAGAGATCGAGAAGCTGCGCGCCGAGCTGGAGAACCAGAAGCGGACGCAGGCGCAAATGATGTCTGAGAGGGTGAAGCAGGAGGAGAGCAAGGCTGAAGACGAGAAGGCGCCCGCAGAGCAGAGCAAGGGCTGTGTAGTCATGTAGGCACCGCACGCCGACTTGCTGTACCGCACAACATGCTGTCATTCGTGTGTTGCCGTTACGTGAGTAGCGATTGCGTCCGTCCACAGCCGTCAAACATATCTTGGTTCAAGGCATCGTCTCAAACGCAGCATGCCTCTGTGATTATTGTATGCAACATGTTGTAAAATGCATCGATGTCTTGGTGGACTTTCTTCTCATCTAACAGATTGATTGTCTGCCTACCAACATATGAATTACTGCGATCTATGCATCGCATGAAAACCATACCGATAAAAACTTCCTTTGTCAGTGTCCCACCACGTCGACCTATCACATATCGTCCTATCACCACATCTCACATTTCCCTGCTGGTACAACCAGTAACCTTCATGGAGTCAGAACCACAGTGAGCAACCTGATGATTGCAACGACCGAGTTCGCTCAACCATTCTACCTCGAAGACTGGACTGAAGGATGAGAAGGGCTGATGACGGCTTACCCGCAGCACCGCAGTCTGTCTCTCCAGCCGTCAGCCGCCCGGCCAGCAGCCCCGACTCCGCAGCGCCCCAGCGCCAGCCGGGTTTCCATGATGCGGCATTGGGCTGGCAACAGCTGACAGCTGACACCTTCTATGTCGAGGCCCCGTCAGCGGACCAGCCCGCGGAGAGTCCAATAGCGATTCCTGCCTCGATGGCTTCACGGCCAGCCCGCCCGTCGGGCGAGACGGTCTGACAGTCTACAGATAATAGTGCAAAGATTGCCACCGCACGTATTTGGCTGCACTTCTTTAGAGCTATCAGCTGGCGTCTAAACATGCTTGTCTGTCGAAGGCATCCATTTTAGTGGGCTGACCACTGACATCGTACCGCGGCGACGACTTGCAGAGCTACGGTGGTCGATCAAAAATGCTTCCTTTCGGGCTCGGCGGATGCAACCGCGTGCATACCATTATAAGATAGCGGCGCTCCCTGCCTTGAACGCAAATTGGTCGTGCGGGCAGACAGTAACTTTTTTTGCGTGTACGCCCAATGAACTGCATGCCTTTCGCAGAAGGCATGCAGTTTATTGGGTTGACGTCCCCCCTCCCCCCCCCCCCCGTTGGTGTATTTCTGAATGCCTCCAACGGGCTGAGAGCATGATGACCAACATGCGGAAGTCAGGAAAAATACTTAAAATCGCGGTCAAAGACCGCGCTCGTACGCATTTGATAGCACTGCTATGGAGTTATCGAATGACACCGGCTCACCAGCTCGTCCGTCAAATGAATGCATTGCATTGCGTTGACCTCTTGGCGCCGTACCCCTCAGTGCTGGCTGGTAGGCCACAGGAGCGACTTGTGCATTTAACGCGATAACTTATTGTGCGCGGCGCATGTGATGGTGTGCATGCGGTAAGACTATGGGAGCGCTTTCGGTCGGTAACATGAAGCGGTTGTCGGCAGACAAGACCTGTTTTGCTCCTATGATCCCACGGCGACCGCGACCGTGATGGGCAACACATGGCAGCCTGGGAAAAATACTTATAATTGCACGCAAAATGATATCGCATATCGCTAATCGCAGGAGTGTGACTGGGCGTTGGTAGCATTCCGGCTAAACTATCAGCTGGCACCATAACATGTTTGTTCGTAGAAGGCATACAGTTTATTGGGCTGACCACCTAACAGCACATCACTCAATTCTGTCGGACTGACAGCATCGACATTTGCAGAGTGACGGCGGCAAATAAAAATGCCTATTGCCGTGCCGCCGCACGTGATCGCATGTTAACAGTAACGCTGGGAGTGCTATCGACCGGCGACATAAATCGATCATCGGCAGCCATTTTGCTCCTATGACCTCCAGACGTCGCATTACGACCGGCAATGCGACCGGCTGGCCACAAGCGTGGTGGCCTACCTTCGACACCCCGCAAAAAATCATAATCCCGCGCGAAGAACGCGAGCGTTTGCATTAGATAGCACTGCCGTAGGGCTATCAGTGTTGCCGACACATGCTTGTCGGTGAAATGTATTCATTTTGTTAGGCTGACGCCCTGATAGCACACCCTTTAATGCCAGCTGGTCGGCCGCAGAAGCGGTTTTTTAACTTACAACCATTAAAGTGATGCTCACCGTGCGCGGCGCGTCTGGCCGTGTGAATACGGTAGCCGTTTGGGAGCGCTATCGCCGGGTAACATAGATCTGTCGTCGATCCATTTTCTTCAAACGGCCACCTGACTGCGCGTTATCGAATGCGGCCGGCCGGAAAAGGAGTTTTTGTTGTAACATTTCTGTCAGTAGTTTTGCTGTAGCACTAATAATGTGGAACCCTGCCCGAGCGCCCGCATATACCCTGAAAATGTTCTTGTGTAGGTGTGGCTCTATGGTTGATGACTCCCAGATACACGTAATTTTGTCCCACCATTACTCACTCTCCTTCATACCATTCCTTTAATATAATCATTATGGGCCGAGGGGACTCTGATCCAAGCCAAATGAAGCCTGGGACTTGACCTTTGAGTCCAAAGCATCTCGTCCATTGCGGCTGGGTAATTGCAATATGGCAAAACATCGATGGCTAAATTTGACGATTCACCACAACCTGGGGTAAAAGCAAATAACTCACATGTAACAAACGGCAATACGCTTCCGCTCCTTTCCAATAAATTAAACACTAGTAAATATGAGTTGTTTCTATAAATCTAGTGAGAACACAGTTCAGCATTCAATAAAATGAATTGGACTTCGACGCCCACTTTAGTGTAGCATGCATATATGAGCGGTCGCACACGCGCACTCATCAGGGGAGCCACGGAACACGGCAGGGCGGACAACAGGCACGTGCTTCCACACGCTCCAGTGCAGGTCTAGGCTGCGGGCCGCGCACCACCAGTCGTCGCAGCTCCGGCTCGTCATATGCGTTTTGTGACCATCTGACCTATTTGTGACCATATGACCATCGTTTTGTGACCCAAAAAAACAGTATATGCTTTTACTATTCAACTGTATTCGTTGGTGGCTCCGACCAGCTAAGTTGCATACGAAATATACAACGGTAGCAACGGAATATACAAGCTCACTACATGGGCAACGCGATACAAACGTGAAACGCAAATGATTAACACATAAATACAAAAAGGCCCATATTCAGTTGCTTGAGGCGGTGCTGTTGGCAAATGCCCACCCCTTCCGTTTTTGGGACAAGCGGCGCAGATTACAGGCTAACCCATGGCAACCCGAAAGCCTTCAGTCATTTCAGAGATCGTTTCCATACAGACAGGCGCGATCGATGTTTTATCTCCCGATAGACATTCATGGATATAAACCGCCGGGTGTCAGAACGCAAAACATGGAACATCAGCTGTGGGTTCAGAGACGGTATGTTATATCAACTTTAGCAACTTTAGCTGACGCAATACCATCGAATGCAATGCACGCACCGCATTGGTAAATTGAGGTTCATATCAAGCAAGCATAACGAGACATGAAATAGCCTTGAAACAAGAGACAAGAAATAGCCCACCCCAGAAACACCGTGATGCATTTTTCTGCCAAAAAAATATGACAGAATGCTTAACAAGTGACGAATTCTATTCCGTACCAACAGTTTCCGGGCGATAATGCAATGACTGCGCGATGAGCCCCGCCCAGCCCGATGTCTGCAGGTACCCACCCACTTACGGCTCCGTGTAGGCTGTGAGGCTTGCAGTGACGTCATCATTGTACACGTGCCAACGCGAGTCGTATCTGATACGCCACGACAAAACACGACCTAGCCAACAGGCCTGTCGAATACAGCTGCACAAGGCAGGTACACAAAATACACCCCTACGAAACCTGCGTATATGAGCACGTTAACTTCCCAGCGCACACCGGACACTGGTATCACGCATACACAATTCGGTACAAAATATGGCACGCAGAGGCACGTAACAAGCGCGTTCCCCGACACTGATGGCCAGCATGATTGACCAAAGGTGCGTAGCGCTCTCGGTGGTCGTTATACGAGACGAGAAAGAGCACACGAAATCTACGAAATCGTGTGGTCGCTCCCAAACATGGGAGAAAGCATCTTACATGGGCTTACCGTGCCGGTTGGGTTACACATCCAGGAAGCCTCCCTTCCCAATGCCAAAAGTAACATCAGAACCGGCAGGCCAGCGCTACCCGAGGCTAGTTACAGATCAGCCAGATCATCAGTCGAACATGTGAGGACAACCTCACCAGATCATAGGGTCACAAGATGCCAACAACATAACATGACAACCACGCTCATAAGGCCAATACAACTCGTTAACTTTCGTTGGCGGCTGTAAACGACGCAGTTAAGTTCCATTCACGCAGCCAGGATGGCGTCGAAAAACCTCCACGAGGCCATCGCCAGCACGCGGCAAGAGTTCGCGGCGCTTCCCAAAGCCAGGCGCGTCTCGCAGCGCCAGGCGCTGAGCGGCCGGGGCTCGGAGGGACGGCAGATCCGGTGCCGATCTCAGAGACGGCCGCCGCGGACGACGTCCTTCTCAGGCTCAGACAGTGGCGTCTCCTGCGTCTCCCCCAGGCGCGCTGCGGAGCACCAGACGGCCGTCACGCGGGCACCATCCACTCAAGGGGACAGACCGCCAAGGAGCGGCAAGACGAGAGTCAGCGTAAGGATGGTGTTCAGTGTTGTCGCCATTACATTGGGAAGTATGCTTGACTGAACTGAACGACGTCACAAACGAGCTTGCTGGCGTTCCCTCCCCGTTCCATATCGCTCCTGCTGTGACCTGTCCAAATCTCTACCCTTCACTCCCAGCTGCTCAGCCTGGCCCCACTCACTTCTCCCAACCCCTCACCGCTCCGCCCGGCCTTACGCCTTTCGCCCCTCCCTCCTTGCCGCCCCGCTCGCCTTGCACCGCCGCGTCCGGGTACCGTCACTGCGTCCACCTCGGCATCACTCCGCCCGCTCTTCAGCGTACAACACGGCCCTGCGCCGCCTGATCCGGCCCAACACCGTTCTACTCGGCGCAGCGCCGCTCCACGCCACCCCGCAGCGTCCTGGCCGGCCTGCCCCCCGGTCCTCACCCGTCCGGGTCGGCTCCGTCGGGCCGCGGCTCGGGCAGCGCCAGGCCGTGCTGCTGCAGCCGCTGCTCGAGGCGGCGGCAGTAGTCGCGGCTCTCGTCCAGGTCACGCTGCAGCCGGTGGCGCGCGCGCTGCTCCAGCTCCAGCTTGTGCTCTGAGTGGCGGCGCACCGACATCACCATGCCTGTGGCGACGACGATGAGTCAGGGGCGCCGGGCCGGGCGGTCCTCGCCCGCACTGGACCGTTCGTCCCTACGCAGGGACCGGCGACCACGACACGCAGACCCGTCGCTGGCTGACCGTAAAGTAAAAGAGACGTGCACATTCGACGACAATGCCTGACGGTCATGCAGGTGCAGTAGACAGCACACAGTTTAAGGTACTCGTCGAGGAGCATACCAAGTAGTGGATCATGAACGTCCCCACTGCGAAAAGTACAGTCAAGCCCGCGCCCCTTAGGGTAATGAGCGGCACAGTTCACGTGCTCAATAAGCTGGAGCCCGCGGGGCGGCGGGCCGTCTCCGCTGAGAATACAAAACAGTGAACCATACACGGCCAGGGGAAACACATGGTTCATTGTATCGTATACGCCGCCGAGTGGACTACGGGTACAGTGGACTACGGCACTGCGGCACAGTGGACTTCGCTCGGCTTGAGGTACTCGTCCAGAAGTGCACACTACGAGGCACCCCGAACAGCTGAAGGCTCTCCTCGCTGAAAATATCGTGCAGAAAATTCAGCACCGCCATTAAGACAGACGCGGACATTGAAGACATGACAGACGGACAAGGCGCGGACAGACAAGACACGGACAAGACAAGCCGCACTGGCTTGTGCTTCATGTTGCGTAAGAAGCACAGCTGAGTTCAGTTTAAATCATCCGTGTCAACAACACCTCCCGGTCCGACACACCCACCGCTGAGTATGCGCGTGACTCTCCAGAGTCGCAGCACGATGATGAGTCCAGCGCCGTTGATGGGGCCGACCGTGCTGCGGAATGCCACGTCCAGGGCGAACGACACGATCACCACCACCGCGTCGAACATCTCCCACGGCATGCGGAAGTACCCGACGCGGTAGGCGTACAGCTTCACTACGATCTCCACCAGGAAGCAGGAGAGGATGGCGATCGAGATGCTGTGCAGAACCTGGCGGAAGGGCCGCACGGTGCGCGAGACGGCGACACGCGGACCTTAACGGGGCGGCGGAAGCCCGCCAGGCAGCTGACCACAGTACGGCTGATCCACTTGTCGTTTCAAAGTTGAAAGCCATGTGGCACAATCGCAAGCATGGAGGGGCCGTACAGAAAAACGAAGTAACGCGGTGGGCTGTTTGTGTGGGCCCAACAAGCCGTTTCTCGATGCAGCAAAAGATCACCTGCGCGCATTTTATCATATGTGTTTGAATTAATCTCATGCTCACATATTTAGCAGTTTCAGAATGACTTGTTGGGTACGACTGTTAGTATTTGATTGATTTATTACTGGGAAGCTGCATATATCAGGTGCGACTACCGTCTGGCTCCAAACGCAGCAGACTAACGCGGCCCTGTACGCAGCTGGATATCGGAAAAAAACAACGGCGCACGCGCGCGCGCGCATACACGCACTTATTACGCCAACACCACAAACGATAATATCTTACAGACACAATTGACAGCACCAGGCTATCCACGCTGGTCTCCCAATGATAACAGAGCTCCTCACTTACGTGTGTCCGGTTTCTAGCGACAGCGTAAAGAAACGACAACATTAGTTGAGTCCTAGCATTACGGCGATTGCTGATCAGGGATATTGCGGTTGGCGAGGAATTCAGTGACAAGACAAATACCGCCAACGCTACATGGCAACGTCTCACATAGTATGCAGCTGCTGTCCATACCAGATGCAAGATGTAAGCACAATAACACAAAATTTGAAACGTATCCCCTCGTTGAATATCACAATTCAACAGCACGTACACATCTGCGGGACAATGGCAGTCGGAGAGAGCTTTGATAAAACCCAGTCCGTACTATTTTCGGTCAGCTCCTTAGTCAGCCATACGCCACCTGGCAACGCGCAAATTACTGACTGCCTCCATTCGTTCTTCAGTAAGAAAATATCCACATCTATTGGGGGCATGACTGCTAGCTAAAGACAGCTTAAGCAGTCGGCGGCATACTCAGGCTTTGCGTCACTATCTACTAGACTAGTCCACCTATGGGTGTGGCAATGTTGACACGGTGGCGACCCGGCACACCAAGTCTTTTAACAACTTCCCTGGCGCGTCACCGGTATTGACGGTAAAGGAGTGAACCGTACAGTAACCAACGACCGCTTTTCTTAAGTGAGCCCAAGCTGAACAGTATAGAAACGCCGTTTAGGTGCTGCAGAAGAGATTCAGCGCAAATCGTAGATGGTGCCTGGCACGCTTAAATTATGCAACCCAGCGATGAATAATAACTCATCCCAATCAGGAAAGAAGCAAATCTATTATGCATAATATCCTGAGGTGAGTGCACGTTCTGCATCATCGTCGCAAGCTGACCGAATAAATATATGTGCCGATCTATGGGATTTGAGAGCATATGGCACATTTTGACTCAACCTCATAGGCCATGATGTATCAGTTGCATTCAATACTACCTCTGGAACAATGCAGATAACAATGAAATACCAACATTTTCCCCTCAGGACCCTAAGCATGGGCAATGGACTTATCAAGGTTCTGGAGGTAAAAATGCACAAATCATAGTAAATACACATGCCCTTTTTGTCGCGACATCGTTTGTACATTCATTTGTTGACTACTCCTCACGTCTATAAGAATGCCATTTCACTAAGACTCTTTGACGTATTCTTCGACTAAATATACACGTACCTCCTTAGCGACAGTACCGCCCGATGAACTCGCTATCTCCAGGTCGATGAGTAACTCCGCAATCACGCAGATACAGTCAAGAATGACCATGACGATCACTGCGGTCTGGAAATGGGCACCACAGAAAACCTTAAAGAGCATATCTCACGGCATACAGTGATGGGAGAATGGTGGCCTAGGTGTGATGTGACAAAACATGCATATGAATAGCCTGGAATAAGTTAAAAAGTCTGGTACCATGAAATAAACCTGAAGATACCAGAGACAGGAGCTTGTGGAGAGACTGTGAAGCACAAAAACAAACCAAAATCAATTCTGGAGAATCCATGGAATCGAGGATAGGGAGGCGATGGTGACTGACCTGATACTTGTAGGAGTGTATGAGATGGAGCAGCCAGTCACGGTGCGTGACGTACGGCCGCAGGTCGTCGACGGAGCGTGTCTCCGGCGCCGGCCCTGCCTCCACCAGCCCATCATCAATCTTGCCCCGGAGCTCGTCGGCCAGCCGCTGATGGCTCTCCAGCGCGGCGGCCGCCGTGGGGGGTCTAACTGATGCCATCTGGGTGGTGCAGCAGGCGACTGGCCTGAGCTGGGACCTGGAGTATACCCATGTAGTGAATACCAGCAGGAAGATAGCAGAATGTGCTTATATGTTTTTTCACATTACTTTAAGTCTGCCTGGATGGTCCAATGTTTAAAAACTTCAGTGGTTTTACCACCATTGGCAATGGAGGTCAGGCTGTGATCATAAGCCCACTCTACCAATGGTGACATGCCTATAAACACAAAAACTCTGCACTGCATGCTCTTTATCTGTCCTTGCACTGTTATACAATTTTGTTGCAGATATTGCACTTTGGTGAGCATTATTTAGAGAAAAAAATCACAAGATATTCACAATATACCAAAAGCACTACAAAATCCTTGGTGCTGTGAAACTGTCCAATCAGTGATTTGTGGCTACCTGTTCTGGATGCAATGATATGGCTCCATAAGTGTGGCAAACACTATTGACAGTGTGAGATTGCAATAATCTTATTTTGCAGGAAGCATAATTGACTGGTGATACAACTTGTATTATCTAATTGTTGTTTAGGATGTCTGCTCTTAAGTAGGCAGCCATCTCATATGGAATTTTTCTGAGAGCATGCAAGGAGCCAAATTTACATTCACCCTTTTCAAATTTTCTGCCTTAAGGACAGAATGGTGCAAAGAGACTAAGGAGAACATGAATCATTAGTGAACTGGGCTGGTTAGTTAGGTTAGAAAAGTTAGCTGGTTATCCTTTTGAATGAAAACAATTGTTACTATGAAATACAACATAGCAATTGTAAGCTGTCATGATGCACAACTTCACACTTTTTGCATAGCATTATCAACAAATGGAAGAACCCTGTGTCAAAATGGGGGCACAAATGTGACATATTTCACATAAGATATACAATCACCTAATTAGCAGAATATTCAATTTTTATATTTATGTAATGTACTACCATAAAACTAAAGGGGTATCAGCTATCCCAACATATGATCAAATTTAGCCTCATTATGGTGATGAACTATCTCCTTGACATATGCATAACAGGCATGCACATGCCAATAAAGAAACTACAGCTGATAAATGATAATGATTTGAACGGCAGGGAGCGCCGACGGCCCAGGTCACTCTGAGACCAAAACAATGTGAGTTCACGGTATATATCTCTCGATGCACCATCTACTTAGAGTAACTGTATGGTTTCCCTCCATCGCTGTCGGAAGATATATTGACTGTACTTCCGTACTGCATTGCAGTCTAGGTTTGTTTACCATCCACCGTCCCAGAAGAAAATCAACACGCACCCAAGGATCCGACGCACACACCCCCCGTTCCCCCACACGAGTTCATCGCAATCTAGTTCGTCGGAGCTGCGCCATTTCGCTGAGAAGTATGCGGGTCTTAAATTGCTACAAAAGGGGTCATGGGCTACTTCATCGATAAAGAGAGCATTTCTTTTTTCAAACACGGAAACGTCCAATGTGAATTGCATTTTGTGACATGTTATATGATCAATTCAAGCAGCGGGCCTCCCAACTTGTTCCGTTAAGATACGCCCTGGATGTCGTTCCAGTTCACACGCAAGTATTAGATTGGTGCGACTCATTGGCGTGCTCGGACAAGGAGACGGGCCTGACCAGGGGCTAAGCATGTTTCTAGCGCTGGTCAAGTCGATCATCCACGTACACCAGTCGTCTCTGGCCTTCTCACATGGCTCATGCGAAGGCCAAAGCCAGCCAGAGCTAAGTCAAGCAAGGTGGATGAGCAGGGATTAACCTCCGCCCATGGTCTATAGGCGACGGAAGTTGTCGCGCGTCAGCGGGGGTAGGGGGGGGGGGGGCTCATCAACCGCTGTAGGTCGTCTGGTGGACTGTGCGAGAGCAGGACCCGGCAAACGTTCTCAGGCCTCGGTTTACCGCCTGTATCCCGTCACACGTTTCCGCCGAACGTGTTCTGCATTGGCGCAAGCGTGGTTTTCAGGGGGAAGGCAACCGGGCCATGCCCCCTTCAAGAGCCCATACGAGGAAAGAATGGCGCAAATCCGGACCTTGAAGAAAATCTAAGTTGTTTTTCTGAGGGGAAGTTTGTTTTGGAATGCTCATTAAGTTAAAAGGGAGGTGAAATCCGGTGTTCATTTTTTTTTTTTTGAAAATCAGGGCTCACTTCAGGATGCAGCCCACAAACCAGTGCTGCTCCACCCGGACGCCACGCTAGATCTGCCATCGTGGCGGCACCGGTCTTGGCTTGTTGCCAGAACTGGCATGTTCCACCACTTAGCGTTGGAAGAATACAGGAGACGGAAACATTCACAAGAAATGGGCGGTGGGGCACGTCGGCAGGACGGCGGTGCAGCAGCACGGTAACGTCGCCCCGGTGCTGTCCGAGCGCTTGAAGGACGTGGATTACTTTCCGGCCAACGTGCGTCACCCCCTGGTCGATACGCCCCATCACGATTTCAGGGGGCCTTTCTTCCGACGCTCAACGCCCACAAAACCGTGCTCAAGCTTACTAACAAGGTGCTGGAGCTGAGAGTCATTTCATACAACAGGCTGGAAGGGGAGGGGAGGGGGGGGGGGGCAGAGACCGGCGTGCCCACACCCGCACAGGCCTTGCGCTGGACGCCACAGGGCTCATTTGGTGGGTACGACGCCGGAGAAACTAGCCCGAGCACAGTGACACTGCTTGGCCACAGCAGCATCGAGTCGACTGATGCCGCCTTACATCTAAATTTAAGTGACACATGGCATTGTTCGAACGGCTCCCTACATGTGTGGGAAATGAAACAGAAATTAAGGCACTGCGCATTGCCTTATCAACCACTTTCATTTCCTTCTCAGGCCTATATGAAGGTCATGGCGCAGTTAGCGTAGTGAAGTACTGTCGACGGGATCGACCACGTCGGTATCGACTCCCACAATCATCCACATCTCCGCGAGTCCGAATAAAAGCAAACTCGTACCTGTGCCATACTGTTCAGGAGTCGGAATCGGAATAAAGCCCATGTGCCAGGATTCAGAGTCAAAGTCGATTCCAGAAGGGGAATGTCGAGCACCAGTCCCTCGATGTGATCTTTTAAATGCAAAGGCATCTCACGACATAAACGGTGCATACTAACGAAAGTACGGAAGCCATCTATGGAGGACACGAGGACAGAGTGGCACATGATATTTCCCTCCACAGAACAATGTTTGGGTCTACAATATTGTTATAGTAAAAACGTGTATTCTCTAATCCAGCATAACGGAACACAGATCGTCTCAAACAGCACTGCAACTCATCGCGCGCGCTGTCAGTGAGCTAACTACAGTACGCAACGATATCAACGCATACATCGCAGGAAAACCACCACTACGCGTCACGTACCCAATCGTCACGAAGGGATCAAATAGAGCATGTGTCAGGCACGCAAAGATGACCATCCGAACCACCTGGTGTTTCCATTTTTGACTTCTTGTTCATTCAAGTCTATTATTGGCGGCCAGGTCCTCATCCAACAAATCAAGATATCACAAACGGTTGGCTGCACTTTCGGAATGCTGTGACATACATCGGAGATCACGGCAAAATAGCATCCCGCCAGGAAGTGGCATTCCCAACAGCACCGTGTCTGTTTATAAATATGTGCACCCGCTGCCACGCAGCCTGTCAAGCTTCTTATTTTGGTTTCAGCACAGGTCAGTGTGAAAGCTGATGCCTTCTGCCATCCAGGCTGAGGAACAATCGTTGAAAAGGAAAACCAGTGCACAAACAAGGAACAAGACTTCATCGCATTATCACTGAAAACTACAAGTTATTCGCACCTGAGATTGTCGTAGTAGCCTCCGTCTGGCCCGGGATGGGCGCCGCCCAGGATAGCAGACCGGCCAGCTGGGGCGTGGTACGTCCACGCATCAAGGCTGGGTGGGTGCTATACGCCGGGGGGCGCAGGTCACAGATACAGGCTGTTGTAGGCCGTGCGCTGAGGCAGCCTGGAGCGGCAGACGGGACACTCGCGGCTGCGGCGGATCGAGCCCTTCAAGCACGGCGCGCAGAACCAGTGTCCGCAGCGGGTCACCAGGAAACCACGCTGTTGCGCCTTCAAGCTCGTCACCGACTCCAGGCAGACGGGACAGCACAGGCCTAAGGCAGAGATGCGGCGTCACACAGCTGCCTACGCAGGCCTGCCTATCCTAATCCAGACAGGGCGATATGAACTTCACAGAAAGCACAGCATAAAGTCAGGCTAGGCACAAAACCACATGCCCGTTTGGCTGTGCGGTACTTTTGCTGAAAGAAGATGATGCCCACAGTCTGGGTGGCACGAAGCTTCGCATCCGATACCCAACTCTTTGTCCCACATTCTTTCTAATTAATGCGGGTTTTAACGGCACTGCTACTGCAAAACCACAACTTGATAACCGCGCAAGGTGCCGTGAGGGATTCGAACGTCCAGGCATGGGTTCAATTATTTCGGATCACATTATCTTGCACCGCACGCGCTTCAGGGGTGCCATGTGTTTAGGTGGGGCCATATTCCCAACACAACCTACGCTGAACGCGCCATGCAGTGATCAGTGGTATCATTTACTTCTTGAAAGACGGATAGGTACACTATCGGCGTATTCATAAGTTGCCAAGTCCAGTCGAGTATCTACGACCAACTCATGAGCTTATCAAGTGTTCTATTTTCAACTTAGACTACCGCGGTTCAGGTCAATTTCATGTCTGTTAAACCAGGTCACATCATCTTTAAACTCCGTAAAAGGTTATTCTACTACCAGCAAGAGTGTCAAAGTCATTTCTAACGCATTTAGTGTTCACTGCTTGACCGTAACATCAATCTCACACCGGTGGGTTGGCATGAGCAACGGCCTCGAACCTTCCCGACAAATCGCCATCTACCACCGTCACCCCAGCGGAGCCCCTCTCCGGACCCACCGTCACTGGTCCGTTTGTCGGGAGTGCCAGTCTGCTGTGGCTCCGCTGCGGCCACCGCGTCTGGGGACGCCGTCTCCGTTCCAGCCGCGGCGTCAGGGGGTACCGGTTCCATTCCGCCCGTGGCGTCAGGGGGCGCCGGCTCCGCACCGGCCCCGGCACCCCCTCGGCCGGCGCTGCTAGTGCGGCGTCTCGCCCGAGAGCCGCCGGCGTCGCGTCGCGAGCTGCCGGTGTCGCGCCGCGAGACGCTGGCGCCGCGTCGCGAGTCGTCGGCGTCGCGCCGTGCGGCGGCCGCGAGCGCGTTGCCCTCGTCTTGCGCCACCACTTGCATAACGTACACGGCGTCCAGGTCGGCGCAGATCGGCCGCAGCAGCGACTGAAAGCGGCGTCGGCGGCCGCCCGGCAGCGCGGCCACGCGCGCCGCCAGCTCGTCATAGGTGCGCCGTAGTTGGCGCAGGCGCCGCGACACGCTGGGCCGCAGCGCCCGAGCGCCCTGCGTGCTCACGTGCACTTGCAGCTCGTCCGGCTCGACGGCAAAGGCGCAGATGTCGCGCTCCAGTTCGGCTTCGGCCACGTTGCGCGAGTGGTCGGTGGTGGCGGCCGGCGCGGCTGTGATCTGTTGTGGGTCTGGCTGGTCTGCCAGCATCTCCACGGCCCCTGTTGGCTGTTGCCCAGCAACAAATAATTTATACATCACAAGGAAATATCATACATAAATAAGTTACCTTCACAACAGCAGATTGCTTAAACAAAACATGTGATTGTGCATGCTGGGATGCCTGGGCTGAAATATAACAAGCCTTGTGACTGGCTACAGCTGGAAATGGTACCTCTGCAAATGGCACCTCTTATTACATTGCACCTTTGGTTTTGTGGACACACCACATCATCAGCATGCAAAATGCAATGAGGTGCTCCCAGCTGCTCCAATCACTGCATATTGAGAAACAATGACAATCTGGATAAAAGCATCACGTATCATGAGAAGATGCTATGAAAGTGGGCTCCCAGTGAGCTTATTATTAGTGTTCACATAATTATGTTAGTCAAGTTTGAGTCAGCCAGTGATATTCTACATAAACACATTTAACTGCATATAACTCATAAGAAAAACTAAGATTTTCAATCCATTTTAGACATCTAATTGCACTTTGCATAAAGAGGACTAGTTTCTGTGGAAGACCAAAGGCTTTTATAACAAAATACCACCAATAGGCTCACTTAACTTGACTTGACTTTCCAATTAGCTATTGTAATGAAATGCAAAAAATGTATACACAATGGGACAGTGGAGATAATCAAATTATATGACCAAAGTCTTTTGACCCTTTTCCTGCCAGGTATCTCAGCTGTTCATTGCTCACATGATCAAATAATTGTAGTTCCAAGGGCCAAGTCAGGCTATTCATGGTGCTCCAGGTTGTATCAATGGTTTATGAGCCAAGGCAAGGTAAAGCAGCAGGGTAAACAACATGACAAGGTAAAGTGGCTCAAACAAGGATGTTCTATACTCACAGTTTGAACAACAGGTAGTTCCTCCCCAACAAAAAGGACATCATCTTCAGAGCTGTCAGAGTCAATGTCACAGGTCAAGTCAATAAAGCTGGGTGTTGACTGGCCTAGCCTTGATCCCCTCCTGTGCTTCTGAAAAAGTGTGCATCACAATCAGCACAACACCACAACCCATGGCAGATGTCAGCAATGACATTTTGGTGATCATATTTCAAACAATGCACCATTTACAAACACATGAGTAGACACTGATACTGACTGACACTTCATCCCTTTTCATCTCACAGGGATAATTCAGCAGGAAACTCTTGAAATAGAGGTTATCATGGCTATACTATATATATAAGGTGTAAATATATAGATAGCATGCATGTGTGCATTTTGGAAGTAGCTGCAGTTGGACAGATTAAAATATATTGCTAATTAACTCCAAATACCACTAATTGATCTGATGCATTAATTTTTTATAGACAGGAAACCCTGTGGCCTGGGGAACCAGGATGCTTTTAGTGTTATTCAAAACCAGTACCAGTGCAAACATGAAGGACTGTATTAACTCTCAACTTTTAGCAGGGTATCAAAAGTTCTAAAATATGGAGGTTACTGAAAGCCAGATCAGTATCCCATACTGGTTACTATACTACACCATGTATATCCACTTAACAAGGCTAATTGGAATATTGGAAGCCTTTCAATGCATCACAATTTATTTTGCATGCTAGTTGGATTTCCAAAAATTCCTGAGGCTGACCCACAAATAGTCAGGTCAGATCATGTGATACCCTTCCCAGGTGAATGTAAGTAACCTACATACACACATTGACAGTCTGCACATGTCAAGTCAAATGACATGATCAGATAAAGCTTATGTATAAAATATTGGCAATGTTGCAATTTCTACATGATGCATCCAAAATACTCATCATGTGGAAAGCAGCAACAGACAATAGTATGTGACATACTGTCTCCATATTGAAGTCACCACTTGGGTAGTGTCCTGCTTCACCAATTTAGATCTTGCAAAATGTGCCTGAAACAAAAATAGTGCATACAGTAAAAACCTCAACAGCAGACACAATGGCGAAGCATGACCACCTGACATATCACTGCAACATGATAGTTGGGATAATAGAATCATGCATGATTTACATGCAGTGAACAGCAAATTCTTGAGTGGTCAACTAAAAGGCATCAGTGATAACATTGATTGTGGTTTTAGGACCCCTACTACCAATGTCAATTTGCACCCCTGGACACCATTAAGCCTTGGTTTCTGTGAGCTGAAAGAAAACTGTATCTTCACCTTGATTTTATCCTCTCATAACCCAACGTGAAACCCATCCCTGCACAAAGTATTTACGACTAACCTGCATGTAGAGGAACCTACTTGTGAGATGTTTCTGTAGAATCATCTGGTAACCATTAATCCTTCACAACGCAGTTACAGGGCGGGCGATTTGAATTAGCATCGACAGTGGTAAAGAAGCTCCCAATCACACATTTTGGCACACTCCTATCCAACCAATGACTCTCTAACGCAAAGCCCCACGCAGTAAGGTACTAGAACTAAGCAAAACTAGAACCAGAACACACAACGGTACCCACACAGACCCAAACCACCGCAACACAGCACGCGGACTGTTCTAGGGCCTTGGACTGGGCAGGGAGTCTCGTTGGGTCTCGTTTCAAGGTGTAGGTGTATTGGTGTGCAAGAAGAGAGTTGTAAGCGGATAATTAGTTGCAACTTTCAGCTAACTGTATGACGTCAGTGATCGAAACCCTAGATTCATAAACGCAAGGGAACAGTTTTTCGTCGCAAGAAAACAGGCAGTACACCGACACGGGCGTCGACTTGTATTATTTTTTGAGAGCCCTGCCCCCTCCTCGATGTTGAGTTGGACCACCACGGTTGGTTTGGGCCTCCCCCCCCCCCCGATGTTATGCTGGAATACTACAGAAGCGTGCGAAAAGTTGACCATCACACAAAGTCAGTCTTTTTAACATGTGACGTAGTGGGGTGACCATGGACGATTCAGATGCAGATACAGATGCAAACCTAGGTGCGGCTGTGAAATGCAATATGCAATCCGCAAAACAACACAAAATTTTGCTGGCACAGATTTTCAGCCGTATGCCGTGCTGAAAATATGTTATTGCTTGCACTCTATTGCTTGCTGCTTGCACACTTAGTTGCACACTGCTTGTACACTTAATTGCTTGCGCTCTATGTATTGCTTGCACATTATTGAACCACCATCCCATTATTGTCATGAATGTTCAACGGTCTCATTTTGCCTTGTCAACAAAACACGACAGGATCTTTACCGTGTAATGCAAATACATGACTCGTCTACCCCGTAACCAAGCTGCCACTGTCAAGCCCGCGGCCAAATATCCCTCTTTAGCGAACCATATACAAACACTTGTTCCGACAGGCGAGCCCTTCACCACGCATTTGGTCACATCACGGATGTGGTCAGCATAACTTCAGCACTCTACTAAAGTTTGGCTTCGCCAACGACAGTTGGCGTGCCTTCGCGGCAACATATTTTTTGCGAGTATTTTGCACGTTGCAGCCAACGGTTCGCAGAAAGGCAATGGGTGCTAACTGCCACATCATTAATTAGCCGTTTCAAAGATATCCTGTGACCTAAGAGGTGGTCATGCATAGCTAAGCTCGGATGCATGCATGCCACCATTAAAGATTACGTTGGTGTTATGTTCACACATTTTTACACTTAACACTTGTCCTACACTTTGGGGGGGAGGGGGCAAAATTTCAGGAAAGTTTGAGTCTCATCTTAAATTCTCTGACCATGGAGTTTAACATTATTAAGTTGCGTTCTTCTACCATTTCCAGGGAATTCACCGATACGAGATTAAACCCAACTTTAAGACTGCAATTTTCCTGCGAAAACACGTGACTTGCGAAATTACGTGTTATTTGTGTAGACACCATGCTAAGAACATACACTATGCCGTGGAGGGTATGCGCCATTTTCATTTGAGGTGTAATGAATACCTACGAGACGCTAGAAACAAAACAGAGAATATCCCTTTCGGCGGCCATTTTTGACAAAACACGTCCAGGCTAAAATCCAGGGAGGCACGGACTTCTGATCCTACATCTCTGTTAGACCTTAATGCGATGTACAGAGCGCAGGAGCATTCAGAAAATAAATGAATATATTCTTATGGGAAGTCGACAACCAGACCTTAACGCACGTGGCTTATCATGGCCAATTATACGAATGCGATAAGTGCCTTGATGCTAGGTCCGTGCCAGCTTAAAATCATTCACATGTATATTCACGGGATCTAAGTGGGCGCCTTCACTCGCCGATCAGAAGAGGCACCTGCGTCCAATGCCTGCTTCCTGAATCTACCCCTGCATGACTACCACGCCTCATAAGGTAAAGACTTTGTAAATTATACAAAAACTGAAAGTATTTAGCCGGCAATAAGAATAAAGTGGACCAAATCCGGTGAAGAAAACTAAGGTGGGGGTAGATTGTTGGGCGTTCAGTTCAGCTCCCCCCATATTTTACAAAAATGGAGACCCCTGTACACGGATGTGATCAAACTAACCAAAAACCAATAGCCGACATGGATATTTGTGTTTCCTTATTGCTCATTACGTGCCTTTCACTAAACTACCATTAATTATCTCATGGCTACCTTGACAGGCTCAGAGGCCTTCTTCCTTGCCTGATCGGGCTCGGCGATGCAGCAGCCTGCGCGGCGGACGACGCTGCGTGCCCTACGGTGGCAGAAGGTTGTGAATCTCCGCGCGTTTCGTGGGAACTCGTCGGCTTCGTCGAAAGGGCAGCGCGGCTGCCGATTCCGGCGCTGGTATTCTACACCGGTCGCCACACGTGGCGACCCCTTCGGCGCCGGGTTCTGTGGGTGCGTTGACGCAAGCCCGCGGTGGGCCCACCCGCGTGGCACCCGACGCACAGGTTCGCCGTGCGTCGTTCGCCGCTGATGGACCGGGCGGTGGAAAATTTTGAGTAAGTGGTTCTTGAAGCATGTACCCGAGATTTCATAAATGTTTTGTCCATAACATTTTCAGTCATTTTCCATTATCCTCCGTAAGTTACGGGTACAGGCTACCCGTACGCATAATGGTCCGTAAATCTCAACCCAACCTGTTACCCATTCCATATAGGTAGACATGGACTTACCTAATCCGTCAGAAGCATGCAACCCGTCACCATTGACGACGTTCATGCCGCGTCCGCCGCGTTCCCTACAATTGGTACAGCCGGCGGCGGTGGCGACCGCGAGTGGCGTGGCTGCTGTGAAACAGTCATTCGAGATGGCTGCTACCACGAGTCCTTCACCAGGCATTCACACATCATCTCCATTTACATGGCGAAAATGCGTGCTTACGAAGCAGACTGTCCTATCAGGTCGTCTATTTCGGGCACGGAAATGTAGAGTTAACTTGTGGCGCTGATAACGGACGTGTTCCACATTTGTGCAGGGTTGTGAGCTGAAGTACGTATTTTGATGATCATTCGGTGCAGTTCACAGCCCTGCCCTTGTTAACACCTAAAGCCCCTCTAATAAAAGAGCTACACACCTGCAAAATGTGCAGACTATTTCGTGAAGACTTTTTCTAAAGCATTCAGATGTGCATAACGCCTTGGCAACGTCAATCAAATCCTGCCACCCTATAGGCCATGCGGCGTTCAAATCCAGGAAGAATGTTATCGCCCATCCGTTCATATTTGGCATCCGTGGGCACAATTTCCAAGTCCAGTGGACGTCATTCATCTCTCGATCAATGTTAAGCAAGCTGTGCGAGTTTCAGTAATGCATCAAGTATTGTGCTTCATGATATAGGAAGTTGGTCATAGTTTTTCTCGTGCTAGTTATTGCGGAAATGAAATTCTTAATCGTATAATTTAGAAATAACACCAGAACTAAGCATGTCAATGCAAGTAAACAACTTAAACCGATGGATGGATGTGCAAAAACACAATGGGAATGAGACAAACGGGCACCTAACGATATTTGTCTCAGCAAACACTTCCAACACCGCCACTGTCATCGCTCGGCAGAATTCAAGCACTACATTGGTCTCTAGAGCAGTCCTTTGCACTTTTGCTCTCAAACGTGATGTACGAAAGATCAATAACTTAATGGAAAGCTATCCAGAGCTAAAGATGCTCAAAACACCCTTTATGATCTATGCCTGATTGAAGGTATATTGCCAGTACACACCTATATATGTATCTGTATGCATAGTTCATATATATATATATATATATATATATATATATATATGCATATATATGTATGCATGTAACATTGTTGCACACACAGACGTTTTTGCACATTGCTGTATGACAACTAGCTATTAACGCCAGGTTCATGTGAAGAGCTTCTTTCCGGTACCCTTTGGGTTGCTCTTATGGATCGGAATTTCTCGGTGTTAACTCAAATACATACCAACATCTGCGGGTCGAATTGCTTTACCCACGCGCCAATCTCGGATTCAGATTGATTGGGCCTGGCGGTGTATAAATGCAGCGATGCTGGTCGGACCAAGTCACAGTCGTCTCACACGTGCCTCCGACTCCGTCACATCCTCTAACGTGAAAGCATACGGCCTGCCACTTGCCTCTCCAGTCGATTACAAGGTAAGTGCAATCAATAGCCCCTACACTGGATTACATGAAGAACATGAAGGTCTACATATCTTCGTCTAGTCATTGAGCTGCATTCAGGGCTTCAAGAACGTTTTATCTTATAAGGAAGAAAAGATTACTCCATTTGTCACGTTCTTATACGAAAACATGTCGATGAGGAGTGCTTAAATGGACTTCTTCGTATATCTGCGTCCTGACTGTTCTAGATGTCAAAAAATGCAGTTCCAAAACCAGGCCTTATGTCCCGACAAGTGCCAAACAGCGGAAGTGTAGCAAACGGCGAACTGCTGATCGTTAAGTTTAGCTTCCTTCAGCATTCGAGGTAAAACTTGGTTGCTGCTTAAACAGTCGTGTTATTTTATTTTCAGCAACCCTATTCCCACGCAGTTTGTTTCCAGTACTAAATGCACGGCTATGGTACGAAACTTAACCCCATGGGCCTAGTTCAGCGCAACACAACGGTTTCTAAGATGTGCAAAAAGTACCTTACAATTTAAAGGAATTCAACTGATTAACCCACCTGCGGAGGAACAAACCAGAACTAGATGTCCGCTATTGCAAAATGATATCGCAAGGATGTCGTACAACCGTAAGCGTAGGCCCATGAATAGGTAGCTGTACAAATAATGCTCTTAACATAACAATATATTTACATTCCTCTTCCGTAAATATCTAAGCATCTGTTCTGTTTCGTGCCCCCTTACATTATGCGGGAGCTATCACGA